CTCTCAGAGTTTACGCTATCCCCTTTTCAGCATTTACAGAAGACCATCAGCAAAACAGACACAGGGAAACAGCATGTCCCCCCATTCCGACAGTGTGATCATGATATTCAGCACTCTGTTGCTTTTTCTGGATACCTTTCAACAAATATATTTCTATATAATTTTTATAATGACATAATAATAAGAACACCTGCTAATGGAAGCCAAACACCTGGGTGCAAGCCTTCTGCAGCCAGAGGATTACTTCAGGGTGAACTGACAGCAACGTACTTAGTGGGGGACACTCACAGGGACTAAAAGAGCAGGCACCATTAGCGACGGGTCACTCCGAATATAAGCATAAAGATTTAGAAAGTCAGAAGCACAGGAGAGCAGTAGCACCATCCCATGACTTACAGTTCTTGCCGTGTTTTTGAAGGGATGTAGTCTCAACTGCTTTATTATGTGCTGAACTCAAAGCTGCCTATGTGAGTGATGCATGCTCATGGCATAGCTACTGGATTAGCCTTTGATCTTAAGGGCAATATATGCCTATTTTGTGAAGCCAAAGATTAGGCATTAAAATGCTCCGCACAGTTAAAACGATGCCAGCCCAGGAAAGCAGAGCAGCAGCAATTCACGTGTCTAACAAATTTTAGTAGCGAGAACATGAGATGTCTCAGGATTCTCAGTCACACTACAAGTAAAGAAGGATTTTGTGGGGATTGCTCACCTGGGCCTACAGGCCTAAATTCATCCCAGGTGGCACTTTTGGCACATACATGTTGGGTTTTTTTTAATCTGGCTCTATGTTTCTTCCTCCCTTGTAACAATCCTGACAAACAATCCATTTGTCTGTGACCTCCACCCTGGATTACTATAACTCACTATGTGGTTGAAGCTGAACGTGCGGGTAAAGCACAGGCTCCAGATGTGACTGCTCATCTTTTCCAATGCTCACATCATTATAGAATAACAGACCTGTATTTAAGGCTCTCCACAAGCTCCCTAGTAGTTTCTAAAACAGACCCAGTAAAGAACCGAGGCGGTTTAGGTTGTTTATCCCCGTGATTTAATAGGTACCTTGTTCTAGTGCATAGGGACTGTTAAGAGCCTCAGAATTGCAAACTGGACAGCCCAGATGCTGAGAAGCCTAGGATGCACTACGCACAGAGGCATATCTCAAAACTCCTCTAGTGTAAGGGTCTCCTAGTGCCAAGGTAGTTAGGAGCATAGACATCTAGAACTCTCAAAGAACTGAGCAGAGCTAGCTCTTTTATTCTCTAGTCTATGTTCTACATAGGTATTTTATTTAACACAAAAGTTGTGGTAGTAGTGAAACCACTCACTTTTATCTAAGATGTTGTAGTTAGTATACTTACGAAAAAAGTGGACAGTATCAGTTCAGTTCCTAACTTGGCCTATAGTTGAAGCCCTCACCACCATCTTCAAGGAAAAAAAAAACCTTATCTGTTGCAGAGACATTTTTTTCTTGTGATCTTTCTGGTCTCAGGAACTCTGAATTCCATCCTACCCAGTGGCACAATTTCATCCAGATTTACTAGAAAGTGTGTTCTTTTTCAGTTCTGTATATAGCCTGGTGGTTAGATCCATTAAGATACCAAAAAATGTGCATTTGAATCTCCTCAGGCTGAGTCACAAGCTAATCTCAGATCAATTGTTTAGCCCAACATTCAGGCTAGTATTTAAAAGGTGGTTTGCATCACAATGACTTTTTTTTCAAGGGGTGACTTCACTTTCATCCTGTGAGAAGCTCAACCTTGCTCATGTCAGTTAAACATGCTCACAGGATCTTGGAAGGAAGAACACGCACCAGGCCCTACATGAGAACTGCACACTTCAGCTCAAAATGAGCTAATTCTGTGCCTGCACAGAAGCAAACTAAAGAGGAAATTTTATTGTTAAACAGGAAAGTACTACAGTGTGGTTAGTCACCTTCAGGGGTAAATGGCATCTGAACTAGGGAATCTTTAGGATGTCAATTCTGGCACCTCATTTAGGCTTAACTACTAATTATTAGACTAAGTACGACCTAAATACTGCTGCAGATTCCTCACTTCTTCATTGGACCTAATCTATTACAGAATTTTTAAATCTGTGAATGCTTCAAGACACGGTTTTATTAAAGTTCATGTTTTGATATATGAGCCATAGTGGCTGCTAAATAACAAAGTCCCAGCTAAAACACGGGAAAAGGACAACAGAGCATTTTCTGTGGTGATCCAACTATCCACTTAGAGCAGGCCAAGCAAATCAGGATGTTCATGTTTTTAAGAGTACTTGAAAGTCTTCTCCCTAGATACTGCAGGAAGGGGTGCAATTTAGTATTTTGGATTGATAGGCAAGATATTTCCTGCCTCACCTAAACACATTTCTTCGCTTATTCTTTGACTCTTACCATGAGAAGAGCAAAACAATGTAGTTTATATTGGTTTTTACTATCATTACAGCATAAAGAGGATAGAGGTTTTATATCAAGTTTCTAGCTTTGAGTTACCTGGCATGCAAAGTTTGACTTTCTTAAGCTGTGCCAATTCTAAACTACAGTACTGGCTAAAAGATCTCAGAAAAGGTTCACTCTGGAATTTCAAAGGCAAGCTGAGACTCAGCTGTAACTTGGCAGAGTTGAGTTCCAGATAAAAATGATTCAGCCTTTTCCTTCTTCACATTATCCTTCACTTTCTCACATCTTACCTTTTTCCAACCTTTTAAATTTCGGAGGAAAATGGAGAATACGGAAAAAGATCATAGTCCGAGGTTTTGGACGTTCATGGTAACAGGCTATTTTCAGAAAAAAATCAAGGTTAAGTACACAGAGACTTACAGAAGGATCCTACACAAGCAACCAATAACAGTACTGATGTTTCAGACTGAAAAAATGACAATATTTTCATGGCACATTTGAACATAGATAGGATAAGACTCTTTGAATTTGTCCATTACTGATCTAAAAATGACAATGCAGTTCACTGGCATTTTGCTGAACAAAGACATTGAAAAGTACAGTGTCACTATCAGTAGAGCACAAAGAAAAATTGTAAGTGGTTCCCTTCATGTAAGCTAGTCCAGCAGAATATTATTATCCTCAAAAATTCATGACTTATAAGTGAGAATGTCAATTCATAGACTACAGAATAAAAAATCAAATTGTTCTATGAGACTTTGAACAAAAATTTAGCCCCTTCTACACTACTACTACCCTGAATTATGGTTGAAAACCTTGCCAATTTTTAATTGCTTCATATAATTAGGTTTAATACAGTTGACGAAAAAAAGCAACTACAACAAATTTAACATATGTAACAAATAAGGAAATTTGCATTAGATTTGGAGGATCTGGCAGACTGCCACTCACCACAAAGTCTTGGAACAAGATAAAGTCATCCATACACTTAACAGATGTTAAACAAAACAAAAATAAAAAAGTGCTATTGCTAAAAAATTCTTATGGTGAATTCAGATTTGGCTCCATGTTCATAACACAACTGACTTGACAAATGAAAAGTAAAGTTCAGATAAATAAAACACATAATAGAATGGCCACACACAGTGTGGGAGCTCATAAACTACTGCAAATATTTGTACTGTTCTAAATGCCATCTTGTTTCAAAATTAACTATGTATTCATATATATGAACTATATATTCATATATATATATTAACCATTCATATAAAGTATGTATTCATATATATATTCCCATATATATTATGGGAAGAGCAACTGATGTCATCTACCTGGACTTGTGCAAAGCATTTGACACTGTCCCGCACGACATCCTTGTCTCTAAATTGGAGAGACATGGATTTGATGGATGGACCACTCAGTGGATAAGGAATTGTCTGGATGGTCGCATTCAAGGAGTTGTGGTCAATGGCTTGATGTCCAAGTGGAGACCAGTGACAAATGGTGTTCCTCAGGGGTTGGTATTGGGACCGGCGCTGTTTAACATCTTTGTCGGCGACATGGCCAGTGGGATTGAGTTGCACCCTCAGCAAGTTTGCTGACGACACCAAGCTGTGTGGTGCGGTCGACACGCTGGAGGGAAGGGATGCCATCCAGAGGGACCTTGACAGGATTGAGAAGTGGGCCTGTGCAAACCTCATGAAGTTCAACAAAGCCAAGTGCAAGGTCCTGCACCTGGGTCGGGGCAATCCCAAGCACAAATACAGGCTGGGTGGAGAATGGATTGAGAGCAGCCCTGAAGAAAAGGACTTGGGGGTATTGGTTAATGAGAAGCTCAACATGACTCAGCAATGTGCGCTCGCAGCCCAGAAAGCCAATCGTATCCTGTGCTGCATCAAAAGAAGCGTGACCAGCAGGTTGAGGGTGGTGATTCTCCCCCTCTACTCTGCTCTGGTGAGACCCCACCTGGAGTACTGCATTCAGCTCTGGAGCCCCCAACATAAGAAGGACATGGACCTGTTGGAGCAATTTGAAAGGAGGGACACAAAAATGATCAGAGGGTTGGAGTACCTCTCCTATGAAGACAGGCTGAAAGAGTTGGGTTGTTCAGCCTGGAGAAGAGCAGGCTCTGGGGAGACCTGATAGCAGCCTTCCAGTACCTGAAGGGGGCCTACAAGAAAGCTGGAGAGGGACTTTTTACAAAGGTATGTAGTGATAGGACAAGGGGTAATGGCTTTAAACTGAAAGAGGGCAGATTTAAATTAGATATAAGGAAGAAATTTTTCGCTATGGGGGTGGTGAGGCACTGGAACAGCTTGCCCAGAGAAGTTGTGGATGTCCCATCCTTGGAAGTGTTCAAGAGCAGGTTGGATGGGGCTTTGAGCAACCTTGTCTAGTGGAAGGTGTCCCTGCCCATGGCAGGGGGGTTGGAACTAGCTGATCTTTAAGGTCTCTTCCAACCCAAACCATTCTAAGATTCTATGATTCTATGATTCTCAGGTTTCCTGAAAAGAACTGAAATTCAGTTTAAAACATGGGAAAATGTCCTGGTGTTTACACATTTTTCTCCTCTGTAGAAGTACCAAGCACAGGGTTCTGTACTACAGCCATTTATTTCTCACTTACAAATCAGACAATTCTTGACAAAACAGTACAGTACAGTATCTCTTCCCATAATAAGTTATATACGGGTTCTATTTTGGTTCTTTGCTGAAATGGTTTTCTTATATTTGTTTTCTTGATATAAATGTCCTTGGTCAAGGTAGATGACAAATGTAATTAAGCTGCAAAAAAAATCCATTTAATTGATAGTTCCAGTATTGAAGGAAGCTTGTGCAACCTTTGAGTTTGTTTTCTTGTTCAAAGCTGTACAGATGAAGTTTCCGGCTTCCATCACTGTATAAAGATTTACTCCCTAAAAAAGAGGTGAAAAATGTTAAGAATAATAAATGCACATGTTGAAAATGCTCAAAATCCAAGTTTTTTTGCTCCAGGGTCTAACTTTTGCAAACAAAGGGCCTGATTCATGTCATAGGTCAGGAATGGAGATCAGTAGAGTTACAGTTACATACAAAATAGTCACAGCTTCCAGTTGTTTGGAAGGTTCTACCACTTTGAGGGTGATTTCTCATCCTAACAGCAGTGGACTAAATACTCTAGTAATATATTTCAAACTCAAAAGAATCTGGGATAAAGAACTGGTATAACAACTTGAAGAAGTTGGAAGAAAAATACAGTGTCTACATATGTGCTGTACTTATTTATCACGAAACGCTAAGAAATTTCATGCTTATATGTATCCCATTTGCAGCTCAGGAAAATGGAGGAAACACACTTGTATTAGGAATTGAGTTCAGTGAGAAATGGGATCCTGCATTCTCTTGAATAAATATAATCTCCTTCTTGAAGAAGTTCCTTTCATTGCAAAATTACAATTTACATTGCTAGCACAAGTGAGCAAAAAATTGCAGCTGCTTGATCTGCCCATGCTAAAAAAATGTTCCTTGAGCAATCAACTGTTTTTTAACTAACATAAGATAAATATCAGTGCTGCTTGATTGCTAAAATGGAATCAGATCACTCATCAAAGAGGAAAAAATACCGCATTATTAGTCTCCTGGACTACTCATGTATAGTAAAAGTTTTAGAGTTAGATCATATAAGTGATATAAGTACTTGCTCCAAAGATTGGAATTTAGAAGCCAGTAAAGTTCCTGTAGAAGGGATGCGAAAGGGGACTTTGAACTACACTGAGCAGTCGCACAAAACTGGGAGAAGTGTGTCACTCAACATTAAAGAGTACAAGATGTATTGCACCAGAAATACACTTTCATAACACTTATGGTTTTATGCACTAAAGACCTGACACCAAGACCAAGATCAGACCAAGACCTGATTTAGATGCTTAATCCTTTAATTGGATCTAGCACTTATTTCCATGTTCTACAGTAAACTTTGCCTTTTTCATTCTTGGAATTGGCTAAAAATGTTAATGAGAATAGAAATTACTTCACAGAAATGTAATCACAAACATTTTTAATTTGAAAAAAAAATGCTTCAAAGTTTCCATTTAGCTCCACTATATAGCACCATCTAAACCATATTGTTCAAAGACACCCTTTTATAGCTGTCTCATTTTACTACAGTTATAACAAGGGTGACTTCAGCTCATTCTGTTTATCCTTTATTGGTCATTACTTAGGCTTAGTTGGTAGAGTGCTACTGCACATAATGAAATCTAAAAAATTCTTAGAGCATCTGTGCTTTTTTACAGGAAGCAACAAGCAACATACCACCATAGACATACTTGGTAGTTAGATTATGGAAGATGGCAAAATAAAAACCCCAAACTATGAAAATTAACATTTTCAACACTGTAACACTGCATAATGTGATATGTGTTGATAAGGAACATATATGTTCACAGTTCACAGTCATTAAATGGAATACAAGCATTTTTACAAGGCATTACAGACAATGCCTTTTACATTGTTTTTCTTATGTAAATGTCGTGAACCAAAGAGGATTACCATGAGGGCACAAAACCCAGCATTCACCAGCATGACTCACAGATGGGGATGGGAAAAGAGTAGTGACAGGTGTTTGTAAGGTTGTTGAGTCAAAATAATATGTCTTCAGATAGATACTCAGAAATGTACTTAAGTGTACTTGGTAACCACTCCATATATCCAGAATTATTCCTTGACACCAAGGAATAAAACCATGAAACACAAAGACAAGTACCTCCAACAGTATCTATGAGCTTGGATAAGTGCCTTAAGTCAGAAAAGCTTCTGCCAGAAGGCAAAGTCTTTTAACTCCCATTAACTTCAGTTAATCAGTTCTCATTCAGCATTCATAAATACCAGGTCTATTATCTCTCTGAACTTCAGTTTTGGTGTCAGTAATGTGAAGCTAATACTACTTAGTTGCTTCTCAAAAAGGCTTATTGTTTGCCAAGCACTCTGAAGGCATCATGAGCCCAAGTACTATTACTGTAATTACATAGGAACCATATAGAAACTGTTTTTATACTTTCTATATGTAATGTCTCCCTACAAAGTTTCATAAGCATTAATGATCTATGACATAATTATGTATCCATTACCATGGTACAACCAATAAATCTCTTTGTAGATGGGCTCTGCTAGAAAATTATTTCACATTTAGCCTGCTAGCGATTCATTTCACGCATCACTTCTCGGTTACGTGTTCTGAAGAACAGTATAAAACAAGCATCAATTATTATTTTGATGTATCTAGTCAATCTGAACTCAGTAATGTACGCTTAAATCCTGTCCATCCTTTGGTTGACACTTTAAGTGACTTCAGTCAACAAAATGAAAGCTTTAGTGCACAGCTGAGAGGAACATGAGAAAGCGCTCCTTGCAAATGGACAGCATTAGTAATTATAATTGCATTTTGTGCCATTATACAAAAAGGGACATACTAATAGTTTTTTGCAATAATGATTTGACAGAATTGGCCATGGTACCAAAACCAACCAGCACTGCAAAGACCAAAGCTCATATATTAAGGTAATAATTTTGAGGCTCCATGTCTCTCATCCAGTAAACCACTCTTTTCTTAATGGGCCAGAAAAGGGTCAAGGAGCAAAGCCTTGTGTTTTGCTGTTGCATAATCTAATTTTTTTTTTTTTTAAGGGAGAACTAAATGTCTGATGGTGAGATTTTTATCTCCATGGGATTTGGTATCAACCTTTAGGACAAGCTAGATTCCTGCTTGGACACCAGATCATTAACAGATTAATAAATCTTATCAAGAAGCCTGGAACAAGGTATATTTCATTTAATCAGGCTATTTTTATTTAATTGATTCCTTTTGCTATGAGTCAGTTGGAAAAGTCAATGGGTATTTTGCCCAAGGAAAGACTATACTGAAAGCCTAAGTCTAAGGTGCACAGAAATGTAAAGTGAAATGCATGATTTCTCCTCCTTATTCCAAAGAACTGTGTTGCTTCAAAAGAATAATCACCTTCTTCATGAAAAAAGCTACCCCAAAGCACATATGAACAGTTCAAAACAGAGTCCACTTGTACAACGGACACTTGTGATTAAACCTTGTCTAAACAGGTATCGGACATCTACCCAGAACTCCCTAAGAAGCACATGAAAGCAGATAAACATTACAGTGAACTCTGTAAGGTACTGAATATGATATAACAGTGCTCAGGGGATGTACAATTCAGAAACAAGTTCCATGATCCTTTTATGTCAAGGAACTCCGTCAGCGTGCCACACTGAACTGCAACCGACAGACAAGTAATAAGCTCCCCAATAACGCAGATCATTGTATTTCAGACATCAGGCTTTTCAAATTCTTTCTGCAGTAGTTTAAATACAAACCACACATGTTGCAGTTTTGGCAGCTCTTCACGTGTTCTCCTTTGAGCTTGACTCTCAAAGTCTATGTCTAAGTTAAAGGTAAAGTCACTGTATTGCTTGAGTTAGAACAAACTCATTATGCCACATTTCCAGAACAATGATGACCAACAGGAAGACCAAAGAGCACATTTTTTCAAGAAGGCAGCATTACTTGGTTCCCAGGAATACAATAATTAAGATGTCAACCAAGCCAGGGATACTATATGTGTGCTCTTCAAGTGTGGATGCTCACTGGTAAGGTTCATTAAAGGGCAGCTCAGTGCAGATAAGCCACTTTGCCCTCTCCTCCAAGAACAGGTCTGGAAATAAAAATGACTGTGAAGCCTGCTAGCCAGTAACAGATTTTGTACAATTTTGAAATATATTAAGTGGATACCTGAGAAATAGTAATGTCCTGTGCTTGGGCTTCAAACACCACAATTTTTTCTACTTTGAAGCCGGAAAAATTGACAAGAAATTAATAAGCACTATGAACCAAATCCAAAGGTCTGTGAAAAAAGCTGAGGTCCACTCAGTCTTTCCACTGTAGAGCTGATCAGCTTCTGGGGCAATGTCTACAGTAATGATTTTTTTGTGGTTACTGAGGCAGAGCAATGACTCAAAGCAGTTGCTACTGAGCTCCTCATAGCTCCAGGTAGGGAGAGGGGGGTTATTCAAATTCCTGTCAAATACACAAACCAGTTCTACTCTAAATTGCTAGTTAAGACAACATCATTCATGTTATGTGTCAAGCCATGTTAAAGCACTGAGTTTGCAAAAACTACTATTTGCTCCCAATATTTTATTGTACAGCACAAGTAATTGTCAGGTATGTGTCGTATGTTTTCTAGAAAAATAATTTTGTTTTCCTTAAAGCCTTAAGTAGAAAGTAAAAATATCTTACTGTATTGACCCCCAGACCATTAAGCATGTATATCACATCCTCTGTGGCTACATTTCCAGTAGAACCTTTTGCATAGGGACAACCACCCAGTCCTGCAACCGATGAATCCACTACAGCAACTCCCATCTGGAAGATTACAAGACAAAAATGCAACATCAGCACAGAGTATTATTTATAATTATTCATAAATAGCAGGCTATACATATTAGTTACCATGGATAAAATACACATTTCTCCACAAACGGATTTGTTTCTCGGAGGACATTCCTTATAATGGTGTTAGTCCTGACATCTTTATAAGGTAAGACTCTTCAAACACAGGATGTGGAACAGAGAACTAACGGTCCATTACATGTGATTTTGGCAGATAAGATGATTGCTGTTTTAGAGCCAAACAGAGTTTTATGTCTTTTCTCTCTTTATCTCTCTACATGTTGTTTTTAAGTAGCCTGCATCTATTCCTGCAAAGGCTTACATGCAATCAAATACAATCGATGCGTTTATTCAAATGTGTAATTTTAAGCATATGTATAAGTCTTTGCAAGTTGGAAGTCTTAATATTAGCATCTGATTTACGTGTCATCCAAAAGATTTTGGGACATCTACCCTCTAAAATGTGTTTTATATTAATGGCTATTCTTCCACAAAGAACTTCCCTCCTAGCATTTTCTCTCTTCTCATTTTCTTTGCTTTCCTCTTTATTAGAGATCATGAAACCACTATGTAAATAATTTTTTTGTTCTTGTTTTACAGGAAGACTACAAGGTATTTTCACCCAAATGAACACCACAATGTAAGGAAGAATTAAATTTTGGCACATCTGTTAAAGAGTTCATGAGTTTAAATCAACTGGAAGTAAAAGTTTAAAGATCTTTATCCTGGTGAGTCTGACCCATTGTTTACCATATTCACCAGTCTAGAAGAAAATACAACCCCCAAAATAGCAAATTTCACATCCTAGCACGGTCCTGGAGCAGCATTCAAAAGCCTAGTTTTTAAGATGCTTGGAATAACTGAATAGCTTGGATATCATGGAAGTTCTCCATAGATATAGGTTCCGATCTTTGAATATTTTTAAGGGAGTACTTGATGCACAATGTTAAGCCTTCTCATTTAAATTAAGACTTCAAAAAACAGCCAGCTGTCATAAATTCATAATTCTCTGATTTTTATTTTCTTCCTACTGTATCCAAGCTCCTTCTCTCTCCTGATCCTCTCTCAGCATATTCTTGATAAAGAATAGTAAACCAGTTATCAACTCTGCCCAACAGGTAATATTAAATTTCCTATGGGATAAAGCCTTCCCTGCGAGATTGGTCAGGGAGGGAAAGGAACCAAGCCTGTGATTTCCACTGACTTTAGTGAGCTCTTGCACCCTCTTCTTTCTGTGATTAGATTTTTAAATAAAGCTGAAATTGGGAAGCATTTTTTTCTGTTTTAACATGTTAGGTATGTGATCCAGGACACTGGGTCTCCCTTGTTAAAGAAACCTCTTCAGAATTTCCCTTGAAGAAGATTAGATCCCTTTGGAGGCATTCAGGCTCTAGAGATAATCAGAGGCAGGCAATGATATTAGGCAGAGAAGTCATCAGATCTTCAAAGACATCAGCTTCTCTCTACCTTAGGCATGCTAAGAGGGTTCTCCTCCCCCTAGGGCTAATTTAGGCAGACATACACCAAAAGCTTAGAAGAAGTCAGGCAGACTGAATCAGGGTGCAATCACAGCTCAAATTCAGGACAGGAGTTCCTGTGCAGAGATAAGTTTTCAATACTCCAACTTTGACTTTGGGTCCAGAGAGATTCAGAGGTTAAACCATGCCTGTTACTCACATTTGCAAGTCAGTAAGATCAGTTTAGAGGCCTGACTGCACGGCAAGCTGATTTCTGTTGCTCTCTTTCTGAGGGACCTACCTGTCCCCACAGGCTAAGCTGGGAGCCTGCGCTTCTCCTTCACAGCCACGTGTACCACTAGCTGGCAAGGTAGGCAAAAGATGATGTCCTCCATGTTGCAGTTGCTAAGTCCCCTTTCCAAATATACCCATCAGTGGTTTTTTTTACTTCTGAAATAAACTTCCCTAATGTTTGGTTGTATTTGCTTCTAGTTTTGACAGTGCTTTCCACAGTTTTATCATTGGCCTTACAGGCTCTTCAAAGTTCCAACATTTCTGGAGGGCAATAATAAAGCTTTGTCCCAGGTCCTATTCTCAGGCAGGGAACATTATCTTGAGGTAGGTAGCTGCTCAAAGCCTGTAATAAAGACCTCAAAGGAGGCAAGGTGCATAACTGTGACAGGCAAGACAGTACTGTTTAATATTGCTCACACAATGAGACTCTCTAAGAAGGGATATTGTACTTTAAAGTACACTAATCTGTGAATTATGGAGTGAATCACCAAAGTACATGTTTCACATTTCAGTCACTTGTCACACACTTTGTTTGTGTAACCCACCGGTCAGAAAATGTGTTATACAACACATCTGTGTCCAATACACAGAGGATATGCGTTTATGATAGCTTTCAACTGGAAATTCTGTCTCTTTTTGCACTAGCTGCTAAGATTCATACATTTACTCTGGAAGTCATTGCTTCAAGCTCCACAGCGGTAGCTGTCAGGCTTGCAAATGTCTCTGCAGCAACACACCTAAGGCCTTGTAATGGAAAGACTTAGGTGAAGGTCTGGGGAAGAGAAAAGGGAGACTAACATGTGGAAGCGCTGGTATGATACAAGCAACCATCCCACTACCATGCCTGCTCTTTCAGGCTGATTTTAAGATTTCCGTCAGAAATGACTGTTTCAGGGATGAAAAGGTAGAAGAAAGTGTCCTTCATGGAGTTTCCTGCCAGCTGTCAGGTTATGTCATAACTGCTAGAACATTCTTCTGGATGTACTTATTTTCAGTAACTTTTATATGGGGATAAAAGCTATAGGCAAATAATGTGCTGAGGTACATCACGGCTGTTAAACTCCCAAGGAAGATCAACAGACTCAGAAACAGCTTTAGTAGCATATAAGCAGTCACTTTCTAACCCCAGTGAATTATCTCATGAAACGCTTGTCCTTGTGCAAAAATGGGAAAAATATCAACTACATTGTATTTGGTGACAACTAAAGTGGCATCTGAAAACAGCCAGAAAAGTTCGCCAGTTCAAAGCTGGGAGAACCTCCTCCTGTGGGGTGTCACTTCTATTACCATCAGTAGCCTGATCCAATGCTTCACAGGACTCTCACTGTGAGAAAAAACAAGAAACAATATACTGCCAGCATTAAAAGGCTGTGTCTTCTAAAGGCATTGGATATATATATTTATTAATTTCTTGATATGCTTGTACAAACACTTGTGATGTCACCGTAATTCTGCATTTGCAGTGCAAGTCTCCTAACACTGGGGTACATGCTGCTTATTGTTGTCTGTTGAAAGTGTGAATACATGGAGGGGTATGGGATACCACAGCAACATAACGGTAACATGAAATACACATCTTTGTCTAAGCACATCCTAGTATTCTCAGGCAGCCTCGTCTGAGTTAATTCAAACTACCTCCGCTGGAAGCTGGACTGAGCTCAGTCATTTTAGTCTATTGTATGTGCAAAAGCAGTAAGCAGTGAGAGCAGCAACCTCAAGATGACGGACAGTGATGCTCGCTCTGCCTTTTAAACCATCAACTATTCTGGCTAAACAGAAAAAGGAGAAAGTCTAGTCACGGCTTTACATTGGTAACATCCTCGGTATGGCGGCTTTCATCCATTACTTCCCAGAAACAGTGTATAAACATGTTTACGTCTCTATAATGGTATCTGCATCAGGATGGATTTTCCATTTTAAGATTCAGCCAATTGTAGACAAGGTCTTGACACGGTGTATATAATACAGCAGCTCTGACTGACCTCCAAATCTGACACGTCTTCAAATCAGTGCTCTTAATATGCAATGAGCGGGTGTCTCTGCCTTTAAGATATGGTCCTTTAAAGTTCTCTTCACAACACTTCTGATAAGACATCTACAGCAACATTTCAGCAGCAGGCTCAGCTGCATCTGTCTGCTCTTGCATGTGATATGGGTAAATATAATGTGTTTTCCGATTCGTGTGCAGAATCACTGCAGTTCATCTCTAGTGTGGCCCCATTCAAAAAGTCCTTAAATAATCCATGCTCCAAGCTCCATTCTAGCAGTGCTAAAAACAGATGTTGGAAAACATCCTTCAGCAGCACTACTAACTAATTTGGAGGTTAATATTACAGCCCAGCCTGTCCAAGCACAGAGTCTGAAATAGCACCTAATAAATAACTTCTCTGCAAGTTTGAGCAGCTATGAAGCTGTTCTGCTTTTGCAGCCATTAAAAGCATAAGGGGCTCTAAAAGAAAAGCTAAAAATTGACATAATGTGTAAAACAAGGCCTCTTCCTTCATCACATGTCCAATATTTGTCAGGCTTTTAAAGGAGATAATGAGTTTCAAGCCTTTCAACAATCTGAGCCTGCAAAACATTCACTGTCAATATGAGATCTTTAAAAAGCCCACAGTCTCGTTGTCACTTCCTGACAGGCGCTAAATTGTGCTGAGATTCATGAGAAGTTGCACTGCAGCTTTTTTGTAGGATATGTCCTAGACGAGCACTCGCTGAGCTGCTTACGTATGGACGTGTGTGTGGGTGAACAATGGCTTGGCTTCCAGGACAACTTTAGTGCTCCAATCTTTTTTGACACTTGAGGAGTTTTGATAATCCCTAAATTCCTGACAGTGGTTCCTGAACTCCTTCCAAACTTTAGCTTTGGCTAGCTTTAGCTTACTCTCTAGAGAAGGCAGAAGACTTTTTGCTCCTGTCCCATGCTAACTTCCTAATTCCCCAATGAGAGAGAAAGGAATTAAATTCATCACCTTTGTCAAATAGCCAGTTTTAACAGGAAACCATTATTGCCAGTGAATAATAAGTGCTTCATGTTTCTTAGTTTGCTTTTCTACCTCCCCATAACTTCTTGTTGGGACAGTCAGTCTCCTTCCTTACTGATCTTTAAACCTGGCTTCATCTGACAGAAAATTAACTTTGTCCCTCTCTTAAAAATGGCAAGATCAGCATCAGTAACTCCAGGGATGCATAAGGTATAAACCAGAAACTATAAACCAGGTC